TCGAGAGGTGGCAGGAGCTCCGACGTCAAATCGCCCTCCGTGACGAAGGACTCGAAAAAGTCGGACATGCCATTGGCAATATGTGCAGGCGGCGCCGACTTGGCCCCAACAAGTTCCTTGATGTAGTAGGCTATGATGGCCTTCTTCTCCCCTTCTAAAGTAGTCTTCTTGTTTGGTAGGCGGGCACAAACCCCGGAGATCACGCCAATAAAAGGCGCATTCTTCTGTCCGGTAGTCGCATTGTTGGTCAAACGCTGAACGGATTGCTTGATGGCATCGTCGCCCCAAGTATCGGAGAATACCGCGCGCAGGGCACGCCTGGTTACTCTAAGGGCAGATTGTTTCACTGCTGGTTTAGGGTGAGCGGCCAGGCACGTTTCCAGAGCCCGTGCATCCAACGCAATTGTATCCAACACGACGGAAAGCGGGGTTTCGCTGTCACTCTTTAGAATTTGGAGCAATATGGAGCACCATTCTAGTAAAACCAATGCTGATCCTGCATCAAGGCTAGATTTGGAAGCCTCTGATTGTAATTCTGCGACCAAGTATTTAAGATCGTCGATTGGAATGGGTGGTTTCAGTAGAGAGCGGAGACACTGCTGGGCGGCCTGACGAGACAGACGGTCAATATATCGCGGAATTGTCTGGAGAAGCAGCTCTAGAAGAGGTTGGCGGGCATTCTCCGGTAAATCGGACCCTGTAAGAACGGAGAACCAAGCACACGGTCAGAATTGGGCTGCTGTCACGGAGGAGGGGCGGGCAATACCGATTTTCTCGCGGAGATCACTGAGAGCACGAGTTCTGCGCGAAGTCGAACTCGAGAAGAGCTCGACCCGCAGGCTCTCGAAATCTCCGGATTTCACCTGATCCCATGGAAAGTCGTCCATGTTAGGTGGTCGGGAGCATGTCGTTCCTTTCTCTGCGTATGCTCGTGGTGGTGATGCTGTCATAAGAGTTTTCGGTGGTTTTGTGTGGGGAAGAAGAGCTTCGCCGCCTTCCGCCTGGCTGCATCATCAACCGAGCAGTCGTCTTGCAAAGTGAGTCATTCTGATTCATTTCTTTCAGAACTACTAACTTGCAAAGGTGCTAAAGCTATCCAAGGCGCTGTAGCGCTGCATTATGCCACCGAACAGCAAGAAAAAGAAGAAGCCCGCCGCGAACCCTGCCCGCGGCTTCGCAACAGTCTCCGTCCCCTCCAAAGTAAAACCCACGGAGTCGTCAGATCCAGCCTCGACAGTCGATTCCAAGTCCGTATCGGAGAGCGATCGCCCAACGCCTTCTGAGCCGAATCAGCCTGTTCCGAGTTCAAACGATGGCCCGTCTCTACAAAATTACACCCCGGAGCAACTAGAACAGCACCTGGAGGATGCTGAACTGCAGATCCTGGTTGAGAAACATGCGGCAAAGTGCAAGAGTGATGCCATCCGCCAAGCTGGGAAGTTAGAGACTGAGCGGAGGGTTCTTCGCCAGCAGGCGGTTCCTGTCAATCTTCTTGAGTGGCTCCCATCGGACGTCGTGAGCTCTATACTTGTTCTCGCCGAGGCGGAGGAACAAGGACTGAGCCCTCAAGCGGTGAGGGATAAACGAGCAATCCCAGAGGATGAGCTGTGCACGAAACTCTGGGTGTTGAAGGATACCCTTCTGAAACTGGGGTTCCCTGAGAACAGGGTTGAAGAAGCATTGAAGCACGTTTTGGCGTATTTTGCTGGCAACTTTACCATTACTAACCGTGACATTGTGTGCAACCTGGATGAATCTCTCGAGTGGCTTGCAATGCATTGCGACCCCGAAGAGCTTCCATCGTATACTCAGACAAACGGCCAGCGTAAAGACACGGACAAGAACGTTTCTTGGATTTCTGGTAACCCTAGGTGTCGGCGTCGCGTGAAGCGAAAACGCTAACATGAATCAGATCGAGAGTCTTCCGGACAGTCCACTCCTAAAAGTGCTGCAGGCAAAAAAGTATCCAAGACCAAGCCGGCATTCAAAGAAGCGGTTCCTCAACCTGACCTGTACGATTCCGATAGCTCTCTTGATCCGGACACATTGGTCCCGAAGTATCTGGACCTGCAAACCCGACTCTACAATCTCCGACCGGAGATATACGATAAACCCAAGAAAGGCAAGAAGGGCCAGTCTGCCAGCACAACCGTGGAAGACCCTCAAGCCCTGAAACTCCAGCGCAAGATTTCAAGTATCGAAAATGATGTACTCTTTGATCGCAAAGAGGCAGAGTACCTCTGGAGAGAAAAACTAGATGACCTCAGGAAGGAGGCTGCTATATATCGACGGGTGGAACCCGACACAGAAAAAGAGCAGGCTGAACAAAAGGAGCCAGAACCAGAACCAGAGGCTGCGCCAATTCTTGAGGATGGTGAAGCTGGTGGCCTTCTAGGAGACATGTTCCAGACCGAAGAAGAGCCAACCCTGGAGCTGGGCGTAATCACAGAGGAGCTGAACAAGGCTTCCATCGAAACCCGGGACTTTGGCAAGTGGACAGGTCTCAGCCCTCGCCGTGTCTTAGAAGAGGCGTGTAAGGCACGGTATGCTACACTTGCTTTTTCACATATCGTATTTTTAACCACGACTGTAACTCACATTAAATATTACCAGAGACTCTGGCTGCAAAGTCACTTACAAGGACATCTCATCATCATCTCATTTGAACCGAATGGCGCTTGAGTTGAGGTGGCCAAAACCACAGGAGATGCCGTCTCCATTTCCCCAAGAAGCAGTCACCCACAAGTCTAGCTCATATGCCACGTTCGTCTCTATGGATAAGATAGCTACACCTACTTTACAGCAGGCCGAAGCATACGTATCCACCTTTGCTCTTTTTATCCTCTTTCCGCAGAATTCAAAAGAAGGAAAAGCCTATATGCGTCTCCCTGCCGCGTGGAGAGATCTTTGGACTGAATTTGCGAATGCAAAGAAGGTGCAAGAGGACGAAGCTGACAAACAGGTCGTCAAGAATCTGAGGAATCTGATACAGGAAAATCACGGCGCCTTCGAAGACGATATTGTACTCTCTGATAACTTCCGCAAGAGAAATGGAACACCAAGGACTCGGTCGCCAGTAAAGGCGGGCACAAAAGAGATACCACTGACGAATGATCAGTTGTCCCGAATCTGGATGGAAAAGTCATCCACTCCTGCCTTCCAGCACATGGTTCAAGGTCGAATGAATCTCCCGATTTGGGATTTCAAGGACGAAATTCTGAGCATGCTTGATACTCACCGAGCTCTCATAATCTGCAGTGAAACCGGAAGTGGTAAAAGTACTCAGATACCTTCATTTATTCTGGAGCATGAGATGCAGTCAGGACGCCCGTGCAAAATCTACGTCACTGAACCACGACGTATCTCTGCCATTTCGCTCGCGCGGAGAGTAAGCGAGGAACTGGGGGAAAGTAAAAACGACATTGGAACATCTCGCTCTTTACTCGGTTTTGCTGTTAGGCTAGAGAGCAAAGTCAGTCAGTCGACGAGGCTGGTATTCGCGTATGTCGCACCCTCTAAATTAGAATAATTGAACTAACAGAAATAGGACAACGGGAGTTGTGGTACGGATGTTGGAACGCCCGGACGACTTCCAAGACATTACTCACGTTGTATTGGATGAGGTCCACGAGCGTTCGATTGACAGTGACTTCCTCCTCATTGTCCTCCGGCGATTAATGCAGAGACGACCAGATCTAAAGCTGATTCTCATGTCTGCCACCCTTGAGTCCAACCGCTTCGCACAATATCTCGGCGGTGTCCCCGTATTGGATATCCCTGGCCGGACTTTCCCTGTGGAAACGAAGTTCCTAGAGGATGCAGTCGAGCTAACACAGTATCGACTATCCGAGAACGAGTCAAACGCTGCCGATGACGAAGATGAAGACGAGGCGGAAGCAAGCCAGGGAGAAACTACTGGGATGGCAGCGACACTGGAAAGCTATTCTAAACAAACACGAGAAACGGTTCTAAATTTCGACGAATATCGACTCGACTACCAGCTCATCAAGAAGCTGCTGATGAGACTCGCAACAAGCCCAGAAATGGAGTACTACAGCAAAGCCATCCTAGTGTTTCTTCCAGGTATGGCGGAAATCCGTCGGCTAAACGATGAACTTTTATCAGACCCGGTATTCCAGCGCGGATGGATTATACACGCTCTTCACTCGTCAATCGCCAGCGAAGATCAAGAAAAGGCGTTTGTGGTGCCGCCTGAGGGCATGCGGAAGATAGTGATTGCCACCAACATTGCAGAGACTGGTATCACAATCCCTGACATCACGGCTGTCATTGATGCGGGCAAGGAGAAGACCATGCGGTGCGTAGCTGGTTTAGGATAGACGTTGATATTAAGCTAACCATAGTAGGTTTGACGAGCGACGTCAACTATCCCGACTAGTGGAGGCGTTTATCTCGCGAGCAAACGCAAAACAGCGACGCGGTCGAGCTGGTCGAGTGCAAAAGGGTATTTGTTTCCATATGTTCACGAAACACCGACATGACAAACTCGTATGTTCTCAACTCTGACTCCACGCCGCAAAAAGAAAAGTGCTAACCGTCTGCTCAGCTGGCTGAACAACAAACCCCGGAGATGCTCCGACTTTCTCTCCAAGACTTGGTCTTGCGAGTGAAGATCTGCAAGCTCGGGGAGGTTGAGCCAACTCTGCTGGAAGCGGTTGACCCGCCATCCTCAAAGAACATTCGGCGGGCGATCGACGCTTTGAAAGAGGTGAAGGCTCTGACATCCACGGAAAACCTTACCCCGCTAGGACTGCAGCTCGCCAAGCTCCCGTTGGATGTGTTTTTGGGTAAACTCATCATCCATGGTGCGTTTTTCAGGTGTCTAGATGCGACGATCAGCATAGCTGCTATTCTATCATGCAAATCGCCATTCGTGAACACAATGGGCTCGAACACCCAGAAGGATGCAGTTAGGCTTTCATTCCGACGAGGTAAATCTCCCCGAGGCTGTCACAAGCAAGAAGAAAGGGGATATTAACGACGTTGGCAGGTGACTCGGATTTACTAACGGTATACAACGCATATTGCGCCTGGAAACGCACACGAGGCACGCCCGGATCAAACGAATATGCATTCTGCCGGAAGAATTTCCTCTCGCCTCAGACACTACTCAACATCGAAGACGTCAAACTCCAGCTCATGGTCTCCATCGCCGACGCAGGCCTAATCACCCTTGACGCAAATCAGAAGTCATCCCTCAATCGGTCCGTACCCACCCCGCCTCCCTCCATCTCCAATTCTGGAATTACCTACCTCCTACCCCTCCTTAATCAAGAACAGAATGACAGAAAGAAAAAACAGTATACTAACAAGGAAATAGAGCCCGCTCCACCCGCCAACGCCACTTCTTCACCACTCCGCCCACCCACGATACAAACAGCACAAACGACACGCTGATCCAGTCTGTCATCGCATGGAGCTTCTACCCCAAGCTCCTAACCCGCGAGGGCAAAGGATGGCGTAACATCGCGAATAACCAAGCCGTCACGCTGCACCCGACATCTGTCAACAAAGGCTCGGATCCGAGTGTCGTCAAGTACCTGAGCTACTATCATATCATGCAGGGCCGGAACCGCAATTATAATGCGTTCGAGACGAGCGTTGTGGAGGACTGGGCTGTGGCGGTGCTTTGTGGGGAGAACGATTTTAAGGTACGTGCTTGCGCTTTATTTAATTTGCTATACTATTTATCCGGGCTATTTTATCCTGCTCGGTCCTCCGGGATATGTATGTTCTGACGATTGGTAGATGTATGCCGGCGTTCTGTCTATCGACACCAACCGGATCCGGTTCTCGATTAGAGATTGGAAGTCCATGCTTGCGATTAAGGTGCTCTCAACCCGGGTGCGAGAGATCTTAGCTGCTATGTTCCGGGATCCGCAGCAGCCGTTATCATACAAGCAGAAGCAGTGGATGGATATATGGCAGGGCATATTCCAGAATAGAGATGCAAGGCAGTAAATAGAGCCAGCAGCTTTTGAATAAACTAGAGTAGACCCAAGAAAAAAAACTTACATTTAAATATTCAAGAACTAATCACGTAGATCTGGTTCGGCCGAGACGATCTATTGACATAGAAAGAAAATCTAAACAATCTACCCATGTAAATCAGACAAATCAGACAACGAATTACCCTAATCTGCCAAATGTATGATCACCCCCAAACATCCTCCTGCCACTTGTTCCTCCTCTTTATACCCCTAACCCACGTCTCAGCCTCATTTTCGCTCCACCCCTTCTCACTCCCAAGGAAAGCTGTAACCCTCTTCTCAACCTCTCTCGCCATCCCGGCCCGTCCACAGATATAAAGGTTCCCCCTCTGCTCAACCAGCATCTCACAAACATCACCCTTTCGTTCAACGACACAATCCTGGACGTACTTCCTCTCAGAGCCCGGGTCGCGCGAGAACGCCGTAATGATCTTCAGCTGGCTCCCGAATGCAGCCTGCATCTCTTCAAGCTCAGCCTTGTAGATGAAGTCTTCGTCTGGGCGGCGACAGCCGAAGAAGAGAAGCATGTTGCCAGCATCGCGGCCGATTTTTAGGAGCTGGCGCCGCTCGTGCAGGAAGGCGCGGAAGGGGGCTAGGCCTGTGCCTGCGGCGATTAGGATTAGGGGGGCTGTTTGTAGGCGCGGGAGCTTGAATGTTGAGCGGCGGAGGTGGGCGAGAATTTTTCGTCGTGGTTCGCTGTTGTTGTTGCTGCCGCTAGCTTCATTGGCGTCTGTGAGCGGAAGGAGAGTGTTTGTGTACGTTGGGAGAATAGTGTTCTGGTTTGTCTGTGGAGTGTCGGCAAGGGAGAGGAGGTATGTTGAGGTGAGGCCTGGTATTGAGACAGCGGTGTTCTCGGCTAACGGGGTGGAGAGGACAAGAACAGTGAGGGAGATTTTGCGTGGGGAGACGACGCTACTGCTGGAGATTGAGTAGTAGCGGGGCTGTAGTGATGGCAGGATTTCGAGGATATACGAGACCGGGAGGTTGGACCATTGCTGGTTTCCGGATGAGGCAGCGAGGACTCGCGCGAGAGTGAGGTGGTTCCGCCTTGTGAAGTCGGCGTACGCTTCCTTACCGCTTGCTAGGGCTGTGAGGAAGGACTTTGCCTCTTCGGTTGGGGCGAAGGGGGCAAGCGTGGAGAGGATGTCTCGTGGGATCTGGGCGGTGATTTCGAGGTAGTGACGGAGGAGGACAAGAAGGGTTGTTGGAGAGGGGACTTTCTTCACAGTGTCCTCTTCTGCACCCTCGATACCGGAGATGGAGATAGGTGTGTCTGCTTCGTTGGTACGACCCAGCATCTGAAGAAGCAGGTCGATCTCTTCGTCTGGGTTCGACGGCCAGACAGCGAGGTGGTCTCCGGTCTTATAGACCACGTCGGGGGTGGAGGAGATATCCAAATCGAGATGCAGGCAGTGTCTATCCGAGGTAGGCTCGAAAAGCTGTCTAATATCCGTGATGGGAATTGCAACAGGACTCGGCGAGTGACGAGGCTCGCCGCGGTGAAGAGCAGAAGCCTCGATAGTTTCATCAGGCTTGATGGTAATGGTAGGCTGGTAAACGAGCTCAGACTGCGTGAAACCCAAAGACTCGCGGAAGAAAGCAAAAAGAGTCTCCTTCCACGAGATAAAGTCCTCCTGCGTCCCCCCATTCGCGTCATTCGCCTTGGACACAGGAAGAAGGGCATTGGCGCCCTGTTCATCAAGAACCTCAACGACACGGTCAATAATCCGGTTGTAGAACTTATAGTTGGAGTTTCCCAGCCCGAAAGCAAAGTATCTCAACTCAGAAAACAGCTTCTGCTTCTTCTCCTCATTTCGATCATTGCTGTTTAGCCAATCCCAGAACTCAATTGTGTTATCTGCCGGGTCTCCCTCGCCATAAGTCGAGAGGATGAAGATGGCCAGCTTCGAGGACGAGATCTCAGTAATCGACGCCGGGTCGTAGTCACTGAGATCAGCTGTGAGGGTGTTCTGCCCGAACCTCAGGGTAATTTCTCTGGCAAGTCTATGGGCGAAGGACTCGGCTGTTCCAGACTGCGAACCCCAGAAGACGACAATGGATGAGTTTGTCTCTTCGAGTCGGCGAGCAATGTTTCTCGTCTGCTGCTCTGCCTTTGCAGCCGCGTCATTACCATATTTGAGCTGTGGTCTCTCATAAAGAAGATGTTTGTAGGGGTCAGGTCTGTCCCAAAGGAGGCCACGAGATAAGAACGTAGCTCCCACGAGGGAAAGAAAAGTGAGAGCGACGTAGTCGGCCGTGTTAGGTTGGGTCTGGAGGGTGATTAGGGAGGCCATTTTGGCTGGCGAAGCTGTGCATTCGATCGACCAGAGATTATGGAAAGAGGCATACTTATACCTGTTGGTCGGCGTTCGTTTTCTCTATTCTGGAGAAAAACTCAGAGTCTTAGAGATGAGGCGGAGGGGCGTTGGAGATGGGGAATATTTCCCGTTCTGAACGCGGGGGTTGTAGGTGAGGAAATTTAGCCCGCTCGCCTCCATGACTCGACCGCAGCGTCCACAGTCACCATCTGGAGGATCTTCCCCGCAATATTAGGTGAACAGTAACAGTGTCTCAATTCTCAAGGGCCTGTGACGTCGACCGTTGCATCTCCACGGTGTAGGAGCAGAGTCCCGACTGTATCCCATACTGGTTTCAATAAGCCACTAAATTACCTACAACCGCCTATCCTTCTTAGGGGGAAAACAAAACTGACCTTTCAGATAGAATGGTAGATGGAAATGCACCTGGTTAGTTCTTTTCACACCAATGGAGAATGTGGAAGAATGTGCTGTTATCAATCACAAGCTTCCAATGTATCTATACGGAAAAGTAACCACACACCCCGACGAACCTTCCGAAAGCACCAAAAAATAGTCCAAATTCAGGAAGACCTCACTCTAGTTCATCTTACGTAGTTAAAGTGTACTTTCTCTCAACTAATCCCGCTAAAAGCACAGACAATCCAAAATGCTAAACCCATCATGTCCCCATTTCAAAGCAACAATCAAGAAAAAGGATAAACAACAAGAAGAGAGATATAAAGAAAACAAAAAAGTCTAGTCTAGTTGGAATCGTTTTAAGCATCAACATCAAGCTCCCTCCGCCAAACCTTAACCGGCATACCACCCAAGATCATATTCATCGTCTCCTCCCTCTGCAACTCCCAGTTTTTATCCGGCAGGGCAAACTCATACCTCCGCACCAGCGTCGCAAGAATGACCGTTTGCTCCAGGTACGAGATGTTACGGCCAATACACGATCGAGCGCCAGCGCTGAACGCAACAAAGTAGGGCCCCAGGGCCTTTCCTTCCTCGCCGAGCCACCGCTCAGGCTTGTACAGGTGTGCCTGTGGGAAAGCGCTCTCGTCTCTATGCGCGACGTACGCAGACATACTAACGGAGGTGTTTCCGGGGACCCACTGGCCGAGGATTTCCATCCCCTCGGGTGGTGTTTCGCGAGGGAGGCCGTGGGAGGTTGGGGGGAAGATTCGGAGGGACTCGTCGAGACAGGCGCGGAGGTAGGGCAGGTGTTTTACTTTATCGTAGGCGGCGACGACCTCATCCTCGGAGTCATAGACAGAGTCGATTTCCTCGCGGAGTTTTTCGAGCGTTTCTGGGTTCTTCAGCAACTGGTACATCACGTTTGTGATTGCGATGGCGGTTGTTACGGAGCCCGCGTTCATCATGATATTGATTTCGGCGGAGACCTCGCCCCATTCTAGTGCGTGCGGTTTACCGGCTTTGTCGTCCATCAGGGCGGAAAAGAAGTCGTCGAGCTTTTCGCCGGCTTCGTAGCGCCGGCGTCGCTGCATGGCGTGGTGCCAGACGATGTCTTCCCACGTGTCGCCGGACTTTTGCATCTTGGCAAAGTACGGGATGATATTCACCCACTTGTTGATGATGGGGTACCAGCCATAGTTCCAGAGGATGAGAGACTGCTTTCTTGCGTTTGGGTAGAGGGCTTCGCGGAGGGACGTTCGGTAGGTTGTGCCGTCTTTGCGTTCGGCTGTGCACATGTCATTTCCCTGGTCTAGGAAGCCGAGTTTCTCGCTCAGGCCGATATCCACAATGGCGTCGAGACTGAAGAAGTTCGTCCACGCCCGGAAGTCGACGGTGAGGTCGGCGGGGTCGGGCTTCTCCTGGCCAGCAGGAAGAGGGGCGGTACAGATGCTGTCAAAGTGCTTGACCAGGCGGACGATCTTGTCGCTAACCTTGTGCTCCCATGTCTCAAGGTTCTTCAAGGCATACGCAGACGATAGGACCTTGCGCTTGCGAGAGTGGTCAGACCGGTCGATTACATCCGCCAGATGGTAATGTGAACCAGCAGAGACGATGTAGGATGGGTCCTTGATGCAGCGGGTATTGTGGCCATAGATGTCCTTGATAGCGCGGACATCCCCGTAAGAGAGTGTGTTCGGGCCAGTGCGAAGGACTGGGTGTGTTTGGTGCAGTTCCTGGAGCTCCTTCGAGCGGAACTTGCGTGAAGCCATCAACATGAAGGGGATCGCCGACATGCCGGAGAACAGGGACATGTTAGGGTACCGGCGGAGACCTATAACTGTCAGCAACAGTCGCTCATCATCAACGGATCAAATAATAGAGGAGCATACCCTTGGGGTCGCGGAAGTACTCAAAGACAGGCCATATCACAAAGTAGACCAGGACCAGGAGGCCGGTAAGAGCAGCGTAGGTGACTGTAATCATCTTGCTCACGTACTTGTTCTTCAGTCTGAATGGGTTTGAGATGGGAATATTCCTGGTTTCAAGATGGTGACCTCGTCGACCCCTCTTATACCCTCCAACACCTCGTTGTCGCGCGGGCTAAATTACCCCCAGAAGGATGCGGGGGTAATTCCCCTTTATGGCGCGGTTGAAACAGCCCTCCAAGTTTCTCCGGTTATTGATCGGAATCCAGATTCAGTCCGTGCCACAGCTGCGGAGTCCCCACGCGGTTCTTCAGTTCCAAGGGTCAGCTGCTATTCTTGCCTTATGTTTGATTGATCAATGCTGATCGGATGCGGAGTTACTTACAGGG